CTTTCTTTCTTTCTTTCTTTCTTCTTTCTTTCTCTCTCTCTCTCTCTCTCTCTCTCTCTCTCTCTCTCTCTCTCTCTCTCTCTCTCTCTCTCTCCTCTCTCTCCCTCTTCTCCTCTCTCTCTCAACTCCTCTCTCTCTCTCTCTCCTCTCTCTCTCTCTCTCTCTCTCCCTCTCTCTCTCTCTCTCTCTCTCTCTCTCTCTCTCTCTCTCTCTCCCTCTCCTCTCTCTCTTTCTCTCTCTCTTTCTCTCTCTCTCTCTCTCTCTCTCTCTCTCTCTCTCTCTCTCTCTCTCTCTCTCTCTCTCTCTCTCTCTCTCTCTCTCTCTCTCTCTCTCTCTCTCTCTCTCTCTTTTCTTCTCATGCTTCCTTTCCTGATATTTCCTTTGTTGGATGAACTTGTAACTTGATTTATTTTATTTTTTTATCCCACAGTGGTTAACAGAAAGAAAAAGAAGACAGTTATCAAAACGGGATGTTGGTAAGTAAAATTTACATTTAAGAATTGCTGTACCTAATTAATAATCACATATTATTATAATGGAATATTACAATCCCCTCCTCCTCCTCCTCTTCTACTGTGTCTCTTGCCTTCCAGTCCCTTCCTCCCCTTCTCATCTCTTTCATCTTTTTGTAATTTTCATTATTATTTTCAGCGTTAATCTTAAGTTTTTTTTATAGTCATATGATTTAGCCTGTGTTTTAGTCATGCATCATATGGTAATTAGTGTCATGATGATTAGTATGAAATTAAAGACAAGATATTTATTTATTAGAGTTAACATACATATTCCTAAATTTGTTTGTAGTTCATAGCTTTTCCAAAATGATTATGTAGAAAGTAAAAAGTATCAATATTTAAGCTCTTACTTTACAAATTCTGAATATTTTCCACAGAGTTCCGGCAGAAGATTGAGTTGATTCAGGATTTTGACATGCCAGATTTGAGTGGCTGTGTGCGCATGTCACCTGATGGTCGATATATTTTAGCAACAGGAACATATAAGCCAAGAGTGAAATGCTATGAAGTGGCCTCCCTCTCACAGAAGTTTGAGAGATGTGTAGATTATGAAGTTATTCAGTTCGAGATCCTCTCTGAGGATTATAGCAAGGCAAGATTTGAGTAGCCATTGTTATTATAAAGTGTTCATTTATGCTGAGATGGTCTCATGATGTATGTTATTTTCTCGCATGTTTATCAAAGTGTAGAAAGTTAAATTTTCTTCAAATAATTTTTCCAGTTGGTTTTCTTGCAAGAGGAAAGATATGTTGAATTTCACAGTCAAGGTGGGAGATGGTTCCGCACTCGCATCCCAAAATTTGGACGTGACTTAGCGTATCATTATCCATCATGTGATCTTTACCTGGCAGCAGCAGGGTAATGTACAGAAGTGTAACATTGTTTTAACTTGCTTTATTAAATGATAATGAAGGTAAATCTTTATGATTTTAAACATAAATCCTTTTTTTCTCCTGTGTAATTGTTGAATATAAATGAAATTCACAGGATGTAGCCTGTAAATAAAGAACCAAGGAATAAGGTTTTGTTAAAGCAGAAAGATGAGATACATTGTGTGACATTTTTGTTCTCTATTAAATAGTATTTCTGCAGCATTTCTAATTAGTTTCCACTTCACTGTTTTCAGGAGTGAAATATACCGCCTCAATCTCAGCCAGGGTAGATTCCTGAACTCCCTGCAGACCAATAGCTCAGGAATTAACAAGTGCGAGTTCAACAAAGTTCATTACCTGTTGGCATGCGGCACAGAAGATGGTCGCATCGAGGCCTGGGATCCACGTTCAAGGCATAGAGTTGGGCTCTTAGACTGTGCCGTGCACATGGACACAGAGTTCATGTCGTAAGTAATTTGTTACTTTATCCTTTTCTTATGGTCTAGGACTCCCAACTGAAGGAAGAGGATATTTAAGTGACTTCTGTTAGATTTGGTTTTGGAAGAAAACTTATCCACTAAAAAAGAACAGGTCTCTTCCTCCTCATTGTTATCAGTTGCACATTTTGTAGCTGGGTTATCAGGTGGTTGTTCTTTTTAAAAATTTTATTATTACTTATCATTGTTTTTACTATTAACATTGGTTTTGTCCTTATATCATCATCACTATCACTGAAAGATCATTATGATTACTTTGATGTTCTTTTTATTTTTTGTTAGTAATGTTATTATTTTGTTTTATAATTGTTTGTACTATTATAGTATTTTTTAGTTAAGTAGGAATATTATTAATAATATGTTCTAGTTATTAATGCTATTGTTATTAACATTGTTAGTGTCAGTATTATGATAATGATTGCTATTATTATTATTTTTGTTATCATTATTATCATTATGATCATGATTATAATATGATGATGATTGTTATAATCATTATTATTATGGTTGTTGTTAGTTATTACTTTTATTATCATTATTACTATCAGTATTATCATCAGTATTATCATCATTATTGTCTATAATATTGTTTACAATTAATTGGTAATTATTATTA